TATCAATGCGAAACGCTAAACTCGCGGCAGCATGTAAATGTGATATTTTGTAGATGTGTATATTTTACGTGGAAAGTGTATAACATTTTCAAAAGTAAATTTAGTAAATTCGCATATTCGGGGAATATGTATACATTTGAAATGTAATTCGCAAAGATATTTGAGACGCGCCTTGACTTTTTGGAGATATTTTGGAAGAGCGACATTTTCTCATCGAGTTTCGAGACGTCGTTCTCGACTAAATACCAACGCTGACGGATATAACGAAGGCTAAAAGGGTACCGAGAATTATCAACATTGTCGGACGTCGGTCGTATTGTGCACCCGCTGCATATTTCGCGTCCAAGACACATCCGTTTCCGTCATTGTTTCCACGGAATAACATTGTATAATCGCGATACTTAGTAAGCACATAGCCCGGGATCCACGAATGCATTTCCGCGTCACTTTCTTCTGCGAACGTGCATTTCGCGCGCGTTAACAGTTTGCGAAAGAAACACGTGTCGCAAAGTCGGTGCGAAGAAGGCCGCATAAATTATCCGCAAATTTCGCAAATATTTCTTTTTTTTTGCATATTGCTCCCTTACTTCAAAAGTGACACAACTTGAAAAATTAAATATCTCTCGAAAAAAAAAGGGGAAAAAAATCTGTTTTTCAACTTTTTGTACAGAAAACAGTTTTAAAAACTAATTAAATAATATATATGTTAGAAAGAATATAATTTTAACACGATCACAAACGGCATGTACGTCATTTTCGTTTCGCAAACCTTCAAAAAATCTTTTCGAGCTGCAACAATTTTTTTACGAATTTAGGTTATTTTTATTTTCAGTAATTGATAGAGTAATAATTGTACTTGTCTCGTTCATGGTAATAATCTCGTATGTCACGTTTGTTAATTTGCGTTACTTTTGAAATAAAGGAGCGATATGTACATGGAACAAAGCGAATTGCTTTTTTTTTTCTTTCCTTTCAACATTACAATTAAATAACGTTTTTCCCGAAGTGCCGACGATAGTAACACCCGTCTGTCGAGGCTCGGTTACAACGAGATCTAATTTCATGCAATTCCCCGGCTTTTGATTCCCCTGGTAATCAACCAGATACAGAGAATGGAAAAGAGAGGGAAAGAGAGATCGCGCGCATAAACATATACACACATCTAACACATACACACACACACACACACACACACACACACACACACACACACACATATACACACGCAGAGACAACACAGTGTTCAATATTTTCGGAGTCACCCTGTAGATCGAAAAATCTCGCATATATAGTAATAACAGATTGTATAACACTTAAGCTTTCCGTAACGATACGAAAGAGACATACGAAACCTACGAATTGTTATGTTTTCTACAGTAACGTTTGTACTACCGACTTACAACAATATTTGTACAATATACGATAAAAAGAGAAAAACGTGTACCTATACAACATAGGTTACCCAGATGCAATAACTTTTTTAAACGGTGTTAATGGTTACCGGAATATTTTTCATACATATAACGACTCGTTGCGGCGTATCCGTACGTCCGTCCGTCCGTCCGTCCATCACGGCGTGACGCGACGCGGCCGGTACCCGCGGCAACCACCTACTCGTTTCCGTTTTGTGCCAACCAGAGTCTTAGATTTTGCTTTTCCAGGATTTGATAACGTGCTGTTAAAGCGTAACAACTAATGAAACCGGACCTTTAAGGAATCGAATGCCCATGCCATTCCACTTTAGCACATCTCGACACCAAGCACCCACGCCCATTCGCTTGATTATCGAATATTAGAGAGAAAGAGACAAAGAGAAAAAGAAGAAGGAAAGAGAGAGAACGAGAGAGAGAGAGAGAGAGAGAGAGAGTATTCTCATGTTTGTATGTATGCGTATGTATGAGAGAGAGAGAGAGAGAGAGAGAGAGAGAGGCAGTTGAAAGACAGAGGGAAATGTGTAGTGTACACATAGTTTGTCAGCAAAAAAGCAAACGTTATTCTTCAAGCGAGCGAGAGACGGAATTTGAGCGCCGACGAGAAAATGTTTGTTTGCGACGAGACCCTCGAAACTATCTCGCGGCGTTAGTAATTCGATTATCGGACTTTGCGAGAACGGATACGAGAGAGCTGTAAACGGAACGCAAACGCCAATGGTGCCGTTACGATCTCTCCGCGATGCATTCGACAATGTGCACTCGATATTCCGATGATACACCGAGTTGTCGCGGAAAATTAAGAGCAATATAACTCGCGCTTGTCATAGCTCGGAAGAGAATCAAGTTTTGAAAACGTAAAAGCTCTCGATATTTACGCGGAGCAGCGTCATTGAGATTTCTTAATCGCATCTGAGAAAGACGTTTTAATTTAATCCAAAAAAAAAAGGTATCTTCAATTTTTTTTTTCACAAAGGCGATTCAATCAAACATTTAATATAATACCTCAATCACACTTGTTTCGAGATTTTCTTGGTCGCACTCTAGAGATCATTGAATTTTCACGGTAATAACATCGACAAAATTATCAATTCATCAAACTTACGAGGGAAGAAGAGAGACGAAACAGCACCGAAAATAAAAACGTAAATTGCATATCAATGTATATAAAATATATAAAATTTTTCGTTAACACTACAGCACAAATCCTGATTTTTTTTTTTGCAATTTTATCCCTAAACAAGATTATTAACTTTTCACTACGCAATCGTGTCTATTGAAATTTTTTTGAAATTTTATATTAAGAAATGCGCTAAGAAAAAGAATAGTTATAAAGAATATTGCGAGCTAAATACTTTTTGCTGCCAATATCATGATATTAATTAAAAAAATGTTAAATTAATATTTTTGCACGTAATTAGTTAAATATTTTGTTTTTTTTTTTTATCGACAAGAAACGCTCTTACAACTGTCGAGTACATTAATATATTTTTAATCCGGTTGTACTGTTTGCTCTTCTCTGCTTTTCGAACACCTTGTACGTGTACGATATCGCGTGATACTCGGAACTCCTGAGTGCGACCTTGCTGATCTTAGATATTATGGGCTGCGATAGGACACGTATGTGAGTTATCGAAGCGCGATCTTCGCTTGCGGTGGAATAAAAAAAAAACTACCGACCAACCGACCAATGCGTCTCGTTTTTGGATATTCTAGTTTATTTTTACGCGCCGTTCGCGATAGCACAGCGACGTGATGTGGTCACCTTCGTACGTGATTAGGCAATGAACGAGCGACGATCGAGTCTACATCTCACAATTTTTTTAGCAGCTTTTATTTTTGTCCTCGTTGCCGTACCATTTATTAAATTACTGAGTATAAGCGCAACAAAGAATTCGGCACAAAATTAGAATTATTTATAAGATTTACTTTACTTAGAATTTTCTTCATATTTATATATTTATATATAGCAGCAGACAAAATTAATTTCTCTTCCTACTACTTTGTGAAAATGAAAAGTTAATTGTCATGAAAATATTATTTTTTTGGGGGGGATAGTAAAAAGGTTTTAATTTTGAAATATTTAATATATAATTAAAAAACTACTTACTTTTTCGTGAGAAGAATCATTTATTTATGAATTGAAAATCATAAGATGTAAAAATTTCAACACCATCATGCATCCTCATCGCTATCGCGAACGACCGTGTGATGATATATATTGTAAAAAAAAGGGATATATATATATATATATTGTAAAAAACAAATAAAATTGCGCTGTGTCCCCGAGCTCATTGTAACCGAGTCACTATGTTCAACTCGTACAAGCGTTCACTTGGATACTAGAGACGTGTAAGATGGACCGGATGGACGCGACCGAGAAGGCGACTGTTCCGAGCGAATATTCCGAGAGCATTTCCGTCCATCCGATACGTTTCGTGCTGCAAGTTTTGGCAGATGGATTGTTGACAGGTCCGATTTCAAATTATCCGAAATTGAACGTCGCAAAATTTTTAATTAAAGCCGTGAAATCGTAGAGCCACGTTGCGAATGCGTCCTGAGATTTGTGAGCTCAACTGAGTCTCGGTTTAAACGGCGTTTGTATGCAAATATACGAGAGATTTTCGAACGCCTGTGTACACGTATGCATTTCAGCTGTATGTCGGTAGGAATCGGACGTTTCGGAGAAAATCGGCAAAAATTCGGAATCTCGTAGAAACTCACGGAGGTAAACCTGGAAAACCTACTCCGACAGAAAACATAAAAAAAAACCTACTCTCGTCCGTAAAACTCCAGCAACCATCGACAATGCGTTCTGAACGTTCCGATCATAGCGGATAGCCACAACTGATTTGGCTTGGCGTAAAAAAAAAAAAGAAAAGAAGTAAATTAAAAAAAACTGGTTTGTTTCGATTCTTAGACGAACGAATGCATATCATAGTTGTAAATTAACAATTTGTGAAATAAAAGCTGCAAACTGTTTGTGTTAACAATACGTCACGTGCGTACGATGTGTGTGTTCTTGCCTGCCTCTGCTGCGCAACCGCAATCCCCGCCGTGTATCCAATCTTGCGTGAAACCCAGAGCGATATTATGCCGTAGGGATTGTTTATCGCTATCATAAGCCGCATCCGCGTGATACAAAGGGTAAGTGTACAGTTCATAATCTTCCATTCGAGCGTGAAACAATACCCGCCCGAGACATCCGACGAGATATCCGACATGCGACGCGCCATTCGAACGTTCGCGAGACAAATGACGAAGTTTAAAAAAAAGGAGCTGAATTTTCTTTTTCCACAAAATCAAATTCAAATTATATATCGTACTACGAATCGTCATAGAGTATCTCCCGAGATGCTTGAATTATTGAAATTAGTTGAATGTGGCCTAAAAGGCTCTAAATGATTCAAGAGTCAATCGCAATCTTCCCCCTCGGTATCGAGGGGAATCGCACAGTTAATCGAGATGCTCGGTTATTCGAGGCTCAAAATTCGAGTGCTGTGTACCGTCGTGTACAACATCAATGATGTCGCGCAACATAGTACGACGTAATTTCCTCCCCTGTTGCAGGTCTCGCTCGCCCTCGGACTGGACGCGGGTGGATGGGGCGCCCTGGTGGAGCGGACGAGCGCGCACGGAGGCACCGGCAGTACCATCCTCGGGCACGGCGGTTTCACCGGGCTGGCCGGACTGGCGCGTCGCTGCGGCGTCTGCCTGGCGACGTTCCCGTCGCCGTGGCTGCTGGAGCGGCACGCGTTGCTGCAACACGCCGGGCAGACCAGCGACGACAAGCCGTTCACCTGCGAGCAGTGCGGCCAGCGTTATCGCTATCGGTCCGCTTACGTGAAACATCGCGAGCAGAATCATCGCGCGCGGCTGCCGGCTGACAAGCTCTTCACCTGCGACGTATGCGGCATGCAGTTCAGGTATCTAAAGTCCTTTAAGAAGCACCGCCTCAACCACGCGCTCGAGCGGTTGCAGCGCGCGCCCGAGTCACAGAACAGCGTAGTCGTCGTCTCGGCGCCGGCCGAGCGCAGCGATCAGGTCTCGAGCACCGGCGAGCCGTCCCAGGTGGAGACCGGCAGCGATACCACCACCAATCCGGGCGACGCCGAGGAGATGCGTGGTGTGTTCTCGGAGAGCGCTCGCGGTGACGAGAGCGGCGTCTCGGAGACCGCGAGCGTTCAAGAGAACCCCGGCGACGCGGTGGAGGTGCAGATGACGGAGACCACTGCCACCGGTACTGCCAGCGGGATCGGCGGCGGTGGCGGCGGTGGTACCAGCAGCGAAGCTGGCGATGTGGACGACAACGTCGTCGACGACGATCGGCACGAGCCGAGCGAGGCGATGATCGACCTCGCGCGGAGCGTCACTCGCGAGGCCGATCGTCGCGAGCGACGCTTCGCCTGCCCGTTCTGCGGCAAGTGCGTGAGGTCGAAGGAGAATCTGAAGCTGCACGTGCGCAAGCACACTGGCGAACGGCCGTTCGTCTGCCTGTTCTGCGGTCGCGCCTTCGGGGGCAAGAGCGATCTGACGAGGCACCTGCGCATCCACACCGGCGAGCGGCCGTATCACTGCGAGATGTGCGGCAAATGCTTCGCCCGCGCTGACTATCTCTCCAAGCATCTCACCACGCATATTCACCAGCGCTAACGCGATCGCAACTCGGCTCACTCGCCTCGGCCTCCTCGGAGCCGAAGAGCACCGCAACGACGTGCCTCTTTCTCTCCGACGCGTCCCTCCGCGCGTTGACGTGCCGCGGCCGTTGCAGGGCGACTCGAGAATTGATCTTACCAAGTCTTACACCGGTAAAACGAATATGTCACACAGGCGTTAGAAATAACACGTTGATAAATAACGATGAGGAGAGAACAAGAGTGCGGCGTTCAGGAATTTAGGGTGTATTATTTTATCCTTGTTGTTCACTAAATGTTTAAACAAGGATAAAATAATAATCTCGATGCACCCGGGTTGAACGCAGTTCTCTCCGTGTGCGCTGATCAGCAAGATGTTGCGCATCCACACTGTATAGAGCGCGAAGAAACGGATAGCTCTGTTTGCGCTATTGCGCGTGAATTATTTTCTCTCTGACGACTCTCTCCGAAAGACAGAAATTCTCGTCGCTCACTTCCGATTCGTGAAATATATACTGCCGCAAGGCAGTAATGGCAATAATCCTTGCTAAATGAACGCTAAAACTTAAACTAATTTCGACGCATTTCAACAGCACAAATTAAAATCGAAATCTTGAAATATTCGATCGTTCATCATACGCAAGATCATACCTCGAGTTCGCAACAACGCCTGCGTTCCGCTCTCAGCTGATCGTTGTCGAATGAAAAATCGTTCCGCTCTCGAGGAGTACGAGCGTCAGATGAAACTGCTGAAGGACTCCTACTGAGACGAAGAAAGAGGAGAGAAAGAAAAAAAAAAACGGACCGCATCTATCCATCGCCGCCGGCCCAACAAGACGCGTCAATTATGGAGAGACAAGGGAGAACGTAGTGAAATGCGATCGCGCGCGATCTCTACTATCAGTTCACCAGCACGTGAACGACGATGGTTTCTGCGCTACGATAGTGAGACTAACTTGTGATAACGGATATGAAACCAAAAAGGGAGAGAATGAGAAAGAATAAAAACCAAAGAACGCAACGACGCGGCGGGCGAAAGCCGACGGTCAAAGGCTTCCTTTTGTTGTCTTCTTCGTCTTCGTGCTCCATCGACAAAGTGATATATTTGTAATGTAATAGCTCGATATACTCGATGTGTACTCGACGTGTAATATAATTCGCGATGACGATACCGCGTGCGATTACGATAATTTCTCTCTACGCGAGCTCCGTGCAGACGCGAACACGTCGTGGAACTTACCGTTTTTCTTTTTACGCGGATGGAAATCGATTCGCTTCTCGCAAAATTGAGGAGTTCAACCGATGATGATTGAGTTCATTTTTCGAGGACACGGGCAAATCAATCTTGAACTTGAGAAAATTAAGTCTTGAATTAAGCTCGAAATTAGAAATTATGTAAATTTCTTAAATACCTTCCTAACGCTTCGAGATAAATTTTCCCAAGTTCTTAGGAAAGTGAATCGGTATCACTCGGAACCCTCCTCAACTCAAAGAGACCCTTTCGTCATGAACAATTCCCTTTCGGCAATTGGTACGTGCATGGTACGTTCAATACGTCTAATATACGGAAACTAAGACAAGTTATTAAAAGCCCGCAATACTCACACCCAATATCTTTGATTATGCTATCAAAAGCGAGGTGAGGCACGCAAACTTTTCGTGATAAACTTTTTAAAAGTCAGAGTTTCTGGCCCGTTCCATTAATCTATTTTTGCTCACGAGAAAAAAAAAATCAAGCGCAGACAAGTATAAATTTATCACGGCGAAAGGGAGCGAGATATCAAGAATATCGATGTGATTGTTTAATATAAGATGTAAAAATCGCATAGCACGTACAGCATATTTTGATGATATTTATTAATCCTCTATGGACGAAATTATATATTTTGCCTGAAAAAGAGAAACGCCAATCCTATTTGCTCGAAGCTTTGATTAGAGGTAAATATATATCTACATTCTACACATCTTTTTGTTGTTTTTAAATAGAGAATATTTTCGAGATAAACTTGAATGTAGAAATGCACTACGACTACAACGCATCTTGCTTTGAGATTCTGTATATTAATCCATAGAGGATTAAACCATCGGATAACTACTTTTACGATTATCGTTCGTGTAAAAGCGACGTGTTCGACGTTGGCACCGATCGGGAGGGTAAACCTCCCGGAAAGCGTTGCCGGTGCCTTTGAATTCCCGAATGAACGAACGAACAATCCTTTCCTTGATCCTGATGCGGATAGCAATAATGTATATCTTTTATTTCTCCCGTCTACGTCAGAGACATCAGCGCGATTTAGGTTCGTCGTCGGGAGCCGCGAAGTAGCGTCTTGTTGCACGGTCTATATTCGGTCCTTCCAAAAATCCTCTCCATTTAGTCGCTCTCTTAGATATTTATATACATGTGTATGTGCGGGATATATATATATATACATATATATATATATATATATATATATATATATATGTATATACGCATGTACATATACAGTAACGAGATGCTGTCCAGCTATGCGCTGGACCGCAAAACGAGAGTGGCCGGCTCATTCTCTTGGGATCGGTCTCGTAAGTAACTTTAACTTCCGACCACTTCATAAACCAAGTCCGATCGTGCGTTTTCGTCGTGGGAGAAATAGAGAGAGAGAGAGAGAGAGAGAGAGAGAGAGAGAGAGAGAGAGAGAGAAAGAGGGGGGGGGGAGGGGAACGTAAGACAACTCGTGCGAGTTCGAAGGATCATTTACGAGATCGGATCCCTTCACTTGGTCAGAAACAACTTACCTAGCCCTTAAGTGATGTATAGTGTACTTGCTGCTCTGTGTACTTTCGCGCGCTCTCGAAAGTACGCGAAACGAAGTTGAATAACGAAGGTGCTATCTAACGAATAGGGTTGATCGCCAGATGCCGGCCGGCCGGTACCTCTACCCACGAAACGAAAAGCGTAGACGAAACGCGAGAGGAGGAGAGAGAAAGAATAAGGAGAATCTCTAGATTGCCAGCTAATGTCTATCGTGCCAAAAAAGAAAAGCGTTTAGAGACGAGGGAAGAGAGAAGGAGAGAGAATAAAAAAAAAAAAAGAGAGCCGGAGAAAATGAGCAAGTAGTAGAGGAGAATCTATTCCGTCGGGCGAAAATTCAATTTCCCTCCAAGACCGGCCCGGTGCTGCGATAGGCCAATTTAGTCCGTAATTACTGTATTATTATACCGTCTCGATAAGAATGTAATTTTACGATTAGACGATACGTCGATATTGTGTCCGTGGTCGGGTGGAGTGACCATCGTGTCAAGATTTTATTAAGAGGAACATGTCCAACGAATGTCAACGAGAATTCGCGGCGAGGCGCGGGAAGCGTTTCGCTTGCGTCTGCACCCTTTTAATTTCCCACTTCTCGCCGTTTCGCCATATATATATATATATATATATATATATATATACATATATACATATATACACATATATATATGTATATATACACACATACTACACTCGTCCGCCCTAATAAGCTGGACGTATATACGTGGTCCTCGTGCGTTCAGACTCGAGGAGCGCGGGCTAGAAGATTAAAGAAAACAGTTCCATGACGCCTGACGTCCCAATCGTTAGTCTAACTGTCCAACGTCCGCCCACTGCCGTTCCATTTCCACTTCCACGGTCGCCGTGATAACCGAGGAAAGCTGCAAATCGCTTTGTTGTAAATCAGAGGTGAGATTGTTGGGCGGAAGAAGAAAACCAGAATTTTGGGCCCACTTTTTGTTTGCTATCGATATTATATTGATTAACCTAATTACATTAATATATAATTAAATTAATATTATTATACATTAATCATAGAATACTATTATGATTAATAATTATCGCACCCTTTTAATTCATCACATAATTATAATTTAGTAATTATAATTTAATTATGGTTTTCGAAGGGTTAATTGATAATAATTGTGTTGACAGATACATTTGATGGATACATATGTTTCAAAAGATGTCGCAGCATATGCAACAATGTTAAAAGTTTTCCAACGATTTTTTTTCTACAACATTATTTTTATGCTAATTTAATTTTCATAATTAGAACAATTTTTTCTATATAAGAATTAATGGAAGTACCAGAGAATTTAAAGCTACCGATATATTATTTTTTTATTTAATACATTTTAACAATAGGCATGTTGTTTGCGCGAATTATTATTTTACTTATTTGTAGCATTCTAGAATAAAGCTCGATGTTTGCGCGATGTTTGCGCGATGTTTGAATTCTCTGATCTCCAAGTTTTAGATTCTTCCATTCAGATTTCGCAATAAAGGAACCTCTGATTCATAGATCTTAGCAATCTCGAGAGTTTTCGACGCTCCCGCGATTTCAGCACGTTTATGTGGAGTTTGTGATTCCGTCGCAAAGGTTCGCACGACCTCTCGCCGATGTGCTAGTTATAGTCGTGACTTGAATTGCGATTCAGTAGAAACACAGTGTGCCAAACGATTATTCTATACCAAGATAGTACGATAGCAAGGCAAGGAAACGCGACCTGCAACGCGAATGTGCTGGGTAAAAGTAATTTCGGGACCGTTTGCCGCTTTCCGAATTCGGTTGTCTCTACGCCCTGGGAAGATGGGAACGAATGAAAGTACGCCCACGAATTAAACCGCCGGAAAAGCACCGCCGGACGTAGTGTTTGCGTCCGAGCGTAATAACGCTAAATAGTGACTATGCGGACAATCTAATCTCTTTTACAGCGGAACGTTACAGCGGAACACGTTGTTACTCTTAGTTACCGTATTAATTGTATTTTGTAGACAGTAGTACGACTTCGAGTCCAGCCACTATCGCTTTGTTGAATTAACTGACGGAGCGGTGCGCGTATTTTCTCTCGGATAGTCGATATATAAAACTGTCGCGATTTTTCCTCTGTCGTTTCTTGATAAACGTCGGAATTGGCAATGAAAAAAACGTACATATTCTTTTGAAAACCTGATTGTTAAGTACTGGGAGTACCTTAAAGTAATAATTAACTCATGTGATATTTTAATGCGCACCAGATATTTAGTATGTATGTATAACAGAAACTAGTCATTTTCTCTCAATTACTTAGAGATC